ATGAGATAATAACTTTCTCCTGATAGCTGCGCGCTATATTTCTTCCGCAGACTCACATCTTGCTTTCTGTCGTTAACAAGTCATTATCAATTATGTTACGATTACACATGAACATGTCAGTTTAGTCATCATATTAGTTTAAACAAACCTATTAATTATTTTCTAGACTGTTGTATGCTGTGTTAGTATATACAGTATGTATGAATCACGCGTTTATGTAAAGAAATAATTGTTGAAATACTGTTAATTCCATTTGAATCATCTCTATCCCTAGTTGATCGCCAATAAACATGCGTATGCGATTAACTTGTCGGTGGAACGATTTAACCTAAAATTGTAATTCCGATGTCTGCTTCTATGCATCGATCATCCGTTCATTGCACTATGCCGGGTTATATGTTTCTTAAATATTGTTGTATTTATAAAATAATGAATTAAACAAATTACTTGGTTCGGAATGGCGTGCAATTGTATGTTGGATTTGTCGCATGGAATACGATTCAGCAAACTTTTAAATCGAATACTATTAATCGTAAAACATGACATGACACAACACGTGATACGACATAACATAACAAAACAAAACATAACATAACATAACATAACAAAACAAAACAAAACAAAACATAACATAACATAACATAACATAACATAACATAACATAACATAACATAACATAACATAACATAACATACCAATAACATAATCATAAACATTAATCATCACAATCCACCCACACACACAACGACAACACAAACCACAACACAACACAAACACAACAACACACACAAACAACACAGACACAACACAACAACAACACAACAACACACACACACAACACAACACTAACATAACATAACATAAACATAACATAACATAACCATAACATAACATAAACTATAACATAACATAACATAACATAACATTAGACATAACACATACATAACATTAACATAACATACACATAACATAACATCAGCAGTGATACAATACACTCCTGTAATGATTACACTCCTCGATGACACATAACGATTAAACATAAACATATACATAACATAACCATATATATAACATATTAACATACATAACATAACATAAAAGACATAACCATTAACTAACATAACAGTACATCATAACAGTAACATAACATAACAAAACAGCAACCAACACAACATTAACATGCTACACTGGACATTGACATGGACATGACATGACATGAGATGACATGCAATAACATAATGAACATGTACATTGACATGACATTGACCATGACAATATAATAAACATAACCATAACATAACATACATAACATAACATAACATCAAACATAACATAACATAACATAACATAACATAACATAACATAACATAACATCATAACATAACATAACATAACATAACATAACATAACATAACATAACATAACATAACATAACATAACATAACATAACATAACATAACATAACATAACACAGCATTATGGCTATTTGTTCTCAGCAGATTTTAATCACATTTATCAAGCTGTGAATAAAAATACACCCACGTTAGCTACGTACTGATCATCGTCAACACGTGATAAACTTTCTAACTTAAGCACAAAGCATGCATAAAAACATTGATTTATATGAAGTATCTTTGACATCATCATTTGGAATATACTTTATTTATAATACACGCCTCAAGAGACATCGAGTAATTATACTTGTTACAGAAGTACTGCTTTGGGAATAATTACGAGGACAAGCTAATGGTAATCTAATAAAGAAGAAAAATTTCCTCTCGTTTTTCACGTGCATATTAGAAGGAAGATAACAACGTAGCGGTGTTGACAAAATGCAGCCTCAGTATAACGCATAAATTAGATGTAGACAACGTTAGTCATACAAACGACTTTCGTGGCAGTATAATAATACAATATAAAATAAAATAAATTATATACGTACATATTTATATTCTATAGAACATACATGGTTTGAGCATCTTGCGCACGCGTACACGCACCGGCACACACCCGCGCACGCAATTACGCACGCACGCACGCACGCACGCACGCACGACCACGCACGCACGCACGCACGCACGTACGCATTGCACGCACGCACGGACAGGCACAGGCACACACCCGCGCACGCAATTACGCACGCACGCACGCACGACGCACGAAACGGCACGCCAACACACAACACACACAACACACAAACAAACACACACACACACACACACACACACACACACTTACGTATACGCGCACACGCAAACGCACAAGCATGCGCACGCGCGCGAAAACATTACATGTGTATATCGCATCGTGACCTATATATCCCACACATACTATTACCAAAAACGACGTAGCATCCCGGGGTCTAGCACTATATTTCTACGCTCGTGCTGGTATGCATTATTTACCACATACATATTATTATTATATATACTATATAATATATATATATATATATTGTTTAGGTTGTTAAGCCGAGCTTGTTCAGAGCTATACTCCTTCT